TTCCAGGGCTGGCTCTTGGCTGGATTCTGAGAAGTTGGCTTCTGGCATGTTATCAGCAGAGGCAATTCAGCTCTCTAGGCTACATATGCCAGCAGCGTGGTGTGTGCTGAGCACCTGTACTCACCCTGGTAGCCTGCAGGGCTTGGGACTGTGGCCAGTCAGTGGGTAGAGCACACCTGTGACTAGTTCCAGTAAGAACTCTGAGGAGGACTGAGGTGGCCTCCCTGCATGGAAATACAGTTAGCATCTTGTGTTTTGCTGAAGCAGAAAGGGAACAGATCTTCCGGGTTCCCACCCTTCAAAGCAGAAATCTTGAATCCCCTGCCTGGATCTCCCAGACGCTGTCCATTGTGGTTTTTGTCCTTGCAGCCCTGTTAGATGGTCTGCTGCATAGAAGAACCATGCTCAGGAAGAGTATGTCTCTGTGTGCTGAGTCCTAGCCTGCTCCCTATGGTGAGTAGCCATGGAGTCCTGCCTGCCCACAAGGGTATTTAATCCTGCTGGTCAATAACCTCAGAAGGCAGAAATTATACATTGTCATCGAACAATGTTCAGATCATACTGGACACTGAGGTGATTCCCTGGAGGTTCATCTAACAGACATACACTGGGCCCTGATAACAACATTTAATGAACAGAAGTTAGTTGCCAGGCTCTGATGACACAGGCAGGAAAGAAATACCATCGTGGTCCTGAGAAAGGTAGTTCTAGTTCCTTGTGGTCACACTTGAGGTGCCTGGTGACATCTGGGAGTGACAGTGAGATCTGTGCGTCTAAAAGTCTAGACTGATGTAGATGCTGGAATGGCCACAGTGTCATTTGACTGCGGCAAGAGTCCCATGGTCAAGAGCTGAGAATGTCAGACTTAACTGTGTCACCATGGAGGTTCCAGGTGATGTGTCCTAGAATCAGAAGGGATCCTTGGGTTGCTGGGGCAGTGCTTCCCATAAGCTGAATGAGTGGCTGAATGCTTCCCTCTGTCTTCTTAGGGTCTACCTTCGTGCCTCTGAAGGTTCATCCTCTCTTCTTCCTACACTGTTCCCTCTTTAGGCCACATCCTGCTCTGTGCTAGGTTGGTCTCAGCCTACTGAAAAAGTATTCCTCTTCTGGAGTTTCCTAGTCTCACAATTGTCCCTCCTGACTCCTCCTCCACGCAGAGGGCAGCACTTGTGTCGTTGGCCTGGGGCTCACACTAGGATCCAGGTGGTATCTAACCCACAGAGACCAAAGGGTGGGAACCAAATCATTCTCAACTTGCAGCCATGCCTGCATGAGGGACTCCAGAGAGGTTCTGAATCAGTTTGGCTGAAGTCAGGCCTGGGACACAAGACCTTGGTACTTCCTGGAGGTAGTGACCCCTGCTGGGTACATCACTGCACTGTCCCACAATTTGCTCACACCCCATATAAGTCACAGTGATGAGTCTGACCAAAGCCACCCACAAGCAGGACATACAGATTATTTGCTCTTTCCCTGCCCACAGAGCCAATGGCAAATGCAGAGATTTCCAAACACAGAAAAGAACAAGCCACGTGTCTCACCACTGTTGTGAAGGCCTCTCCACTGAGACAGGCTGTGCAGCAATGCACCATTGTGATCAAGCTGAAAGTTCTTCACTCCTCTCATCTCTGAAGTATCAGTGCATTTCTAGAGATGGTGTTTTTTCCCTGAATATTTAATGATATGTGAAAATTAAACTACACACTCTTAAATAACCAACAGTTAAAGAAGAAATGCAAAGAAAATACTCAAGATAAATTAATTAGCCACTCAACAAGCTTTGGAATACAGCAACGAAGCCCAGAAGGGGACTTTACAGTTGTAAATGTCTATATGAAAGGAGAAAGGTCAAATCAATCATCTGATTTTTGTACTGTCAAGGAAGTGAGAAAAGAAGAGCAAACCGAATCCAAAGGTGGTTGAAGAAGGGACATCACAAGGACCAGAGCAAAAGTAGCAACAGAGAATAGAAAAACAGAGAAACCAACTTCTTTAAAAAGATTAACAAAATTTGCAAACCCTGCTAGGCTGCCCAAGGGAAAGAGAGAGGATCAACACTGATTTGGAAGGTTCTAGTGAAAGCGCGAGAAAGACCAAGTGAGAAGCACTTACGGTGGTGTGGAAAAGCCCTACTCACAGATGACGTGATCATTACACATACAGGAAACCTTGAAGAATTAACAGCAAACTATTGTGCTTAATAAAGCCATTCAACAAAGCTGCAGGATACAAGGTCAACACACAAGGGTCAATTGTATTTCTATATCTAAGCAATGAGTAATCAGAAATGAAAACTCAATCCCATTTATGTAATATTATAAAGAACAAAAAACAGGGCAAACAGTCAAGGAGATGTACGATTTGTGTGCTGCAGATTACAAAGCTTTGCAGGAAGAAATTGTCAGTGAATGACAAGGTCCATTCTTACAAACCAGAAGAGTCAACCCTGTGAAAACAGTAATACTCCCTCATGTGGTCTCGACCAGTGTGGTTCCTGTGATGGACCCTGACAGATTGTCGAGGGCCTGCATGGGCCACCCTGGGCCTGGTTGCTGAACTTGTTCTGCACACGGTCTGCCTCTTTATCTGTGGGATTTATCTGATGGCTGATTCCCAGGATACAAACTCCATGCCTTGTGTCTGTCAGTCTGCTCACCTGTCACACACAGGACCGGGGCCTGGGTGTTGGCTGCTTTTCTTAGTGCTCCCCAGCTCATGTGGCTTGGGCTCCCATACTACGTGACTTGATCTGATATGGATTCCTGCTATACCCATATTGCAGGCTGGAGGCCTGAGTGGGCTGACTTTTTTCTACATGACCAACAGGGATTCTCTGAGGATCTACAGGATGCTTCCATAGGCCATATTTTTATATGGGGGCACTGGGGACTAAGGGGAAAATGAAACCAGCCGGATTGCTGTCTAACGTCATAAAATCTCCACTGAGACTCCAGTTTGTGTTGTCATGGAAACCAGAAACCTCCCTCAGGATTGAGGCGTGAGTAGATAACTTTAACCTTGGCAATGAGGCCCACTCAGTTGAAAGGTTTGAACTTTCAAAGGCTGGTGCTTTGCTCTGCAAGACCTTGATTGAGTCTTCCCCCCATACCCCTACTTTTTTTTTCAAAGTTTTGTTTGTTTTTTGGTATTGGGGATCAAACTCGCAACCTTGTGCTTGCCAGGCAGGTGCTTTGCTGCTGAATCCCCTCTTCCCCCTTTTTGACCCAGTTCTAACTCAAGGGCAAATTCCCCACACACCTGTGAGGACTGTGTGAATGTCAGTGCTCTCTCCTCACCAAGTCTTGTGAAGAAAAGAAGCCCCTAGTTTAACTTCCCAACCAATGCTCACACAGAAAGGAGATGCAGGCTTCTATAGTATTCGTTGACTTCAGATCTGCAAAATTTTAAATGACTGTATCTTCCTTGAAACCTCCAGGAAATGGGCATACATCGCCCAAAACTGAGCAGAGGTGAGTTCTAAGAGTGCATGCAGACCCAGTTGTGGGGGGCTCAGGGAAGGGGAAGGCTTTTCAAAAGTTAAAAGCCCAAATAACAACACCCAGTTTTCCACAGAAGCCTCTCAAGGACATTTATTTTTAAACCTCTTATTGGAAACTTGCAGGATGGGCCAGGACATATAGATTCCTCGTTACAGACAGTGGCCCTGGCCTGCTGCTTTTGGGATCTGGTTGCCCGGCCTGTTTTGCTGAGGGTCCAGCAGGAAGGGTGAGGCTAAGCAAGACCTGACATGTCAGGGCATTTTGGGGCTGTCCTCAGGGCTGAGTTCTCAGGGCTCAGGAGCAATTTCTGTCACTGTGGATATACATAGACCACATATGCCTTTTGGGGCTGGGGCCTGAGATGCAGATTCAGGGATGCTCATGGTGGGGCCAGGGAAAGGGCAGCATCTGAGAGGGACACTACACTGCAGAGGATGCAGCATAGGCTATGAGTCAGGGCCTGAGAGCCCCTTAGGAGATCTGAAAGGGAAGACTCTTGGTCTCTAATTGCTTTTTGCCTGATCTCCTCAGGAAGGGGCGGCATATTCCCCAACCAGTCCCCAGCCAGGCCAGAGAGCAGCAGAGAGGAGCAGGTACTCGGTGGAATGTGATGCTGGTCCCTTACGGCCAGGCCACCTCTGCAGACGGTTTGCAACTGTAGAGGGCAGTACACTGAGTCCATGACCATCTACGTTGGGCAGGAGCTGAGAGTCAGGAGGGGCAAGGCATGCCAGTGACCAAGGGACTCTCTGAGGATCACAGCACCATGGAAAGGCCCAGGGGAAAGGGCAGGGATGATGATGCTCCTGGCAGCATCATGAATGCAAGCTTTATCAGAGCACAGGAACAGGGCCTGCAGTCCACTGCTGGTCAGCACCACCACCCATTCTCTGCTGGAGTCACTGAGGAAGGAGGAGGAGTGCCCTGCTGAACTTGGTCCCTTTTCCCAATTGACTCTGGTCCAAAGTCACCTTGAAATCTGTGCCTGAGTGCATAATGGTTTACTACCAGCAAGCAGCAAGGATCTTAGAGTCACTAATATCAGGAAGTAAACCAAGTCACAACCACTCAATCTGCAGCCTGACCACCCCAGAGGGCACAGAGGGCCTCATGCCAGAACCTGAGCAGCTGGGGAGAACACACCAAGCATGTGGGCACACATGTCCCACAGCAGCCAAGCTTCAGTCACAGCAATGTCCTGCTCCTCCACCAGCATACTGATCCTTAGTCCTATTTTAGGACCCTGCTCTTACCCCAGCTTCACTCCCTCCCCACCTTGTCTCACCCAAGACCCTACCTTGCTTTCCTTGTGCTGCCCCCATCCTCATCCCTAAATGCTATTCCCCAACCTTCATCTCTGGACACCTCCCACCCCATTCTGCCCCAAGCAGAGTTGACTGGTGAAGGAATTTTCCAAGACCTGTAAACCATGTGTCCAGGGCAAGGGTTCCAGGGACCCAGAGGATGGAAGGGACTGTGCGTAGGAGTGGGCTTGGGTACCTGAGCAGGGGCTTCTTGGGGAACGGTGGCTGGTCTGCGACTGGGCATGGCAGGGCCTTCTTGGTCACTTGCTTGTAGATGTTCCTGGCAGTTACCCCAATCCACAGCATGGTGGAGAGTGTGGAGTAGTGCAGCACGATGCCCACCTGGAAGGGGAGAGTCATCAGCCAGGCCTGCCTTTGCCAGCCACCTGCCCCGTACTGCTGACCTGCAGTGCACACCCAGGCCTTTCCGGAAGCCTCAGTGAGCAGAGCCCCAGCAGCTTCTCTAGAGCCCTTTAGTGACAAGAAGTAAGACTAGTAGGAAGATGGAGGGACACTCCAGAGGAGTGTAAAGACTCTTCAACTGCTGAGTTTTGCTCTCCTTCTGCAAGAGGTGGGGCAGAGCCAGTGTGGAGCCTACCGGCCTGCATCCTGGTCCCTGAGGGGTGCCCATGCCATTCCCCCATGTGGGACCTGTGCACACACACCTCCCTATGGGCCCCCACCTGCAGGGTCCACTATGTGGAAGGAGGGTGCTGCTGTACAGTGGGGCACTCCCAGTGTGCCAGGATCGGTGGTACTGCATGTAGGATAAAGCACTGCAGGGATGAGACTTGGACAACCCACCCATGCATGTCAGAGTGACTCATTACTATGGAAACAGCCAACTTGAGGCCCATCCACAGCACTTAGGTGCAAGCTGATTATGTATTCCACACTCCTTCGTCTCCATCTGATTCCATAAAACGAGGTTACCTTTGAGGTAATAACCTGACATTTCAAAATGACAAGTAAAATACTGTTATAATTGGAAAGGACATAAATGTTTAAGGAATACAGAGATTCCCTGAATAAAGTTAACATTGCACCACTATAATGATTTATCAAATCCAGAGTTCAATTTTTACTTACGAGCAAACTCTGCAAAAATTGTTGAGGATTTTGTAGGGTAGAAAGATCAAAAAAACTGTTTATGGTTTTGAATGAGCTCTCTGTGTAGAGCTCACACATCCCGAAAGTCATCTTGTCCTTGGGTCTCCTGACCCTCAGCATGTGGGGGCTCGTGTGGGCATTCCAAGTACACAGACCTCATGCTGGCTGCTGAGAGCAGGAGGCACTGGAACCTGCCAGTGAGACATTTCTGTATTGGAAAACAGTGGGGCAAAGGTGACCATTTTGGCCTGGCCCTGATTTGAAGGAAGGTTCCTCTTTCTCTTCAGGTAACTATAGGATGGCTATCACTGTCATGTCCAAACAAAGCCTCAGGACACCTGTTCTAAGAAGGAGCCTGATCCTCAGCTGTGGTACGCTGACCCGGCACCTACAGGAGGGTGGGGAATGTGGCTAAGAGGACAGTAACAGAGCTGGGAGATCTGGCTCTCTCCTCCTCTTATCTAAGCCTCACTTAGGTGTGGGATTAGGATCATAAGAATGTGTGGATGGCAAGATTCTGTCTTCCAAACACTCACATTAGGGTAGACTCAAGAGGAGGTCTTAGGAACATTGTGCTGGCTTCCAGAGAGCACTCTGCAGCCATGAGGGAAGGAGGTAGCAAGCAGACTGCTCTCTCTCACTTCCAGACCCTGACAGGGCCAGTGCTGACGCACATTCATTATGTGGAACTACCGGCTGCCGTCTGTTTCTATGATGTCACTTAATACTTTAATGAATCTCATGGTCATCTTCCTGTTACCATAACAACTGTCTGTTCACTCCAGCCATTCAGAATTCTGGACCACTTTTCCTGTTTGTTCTGCTGTGATACTGAGTCACAGGAGGAAGGCCTGGGAGTGGTGGTTACAGGTTGTTGGTAGAGAAGGGGACAGTTCTATCTTCCAACAGTCTGGCTTTTAATCTGCTCCTCCTCAGGTGTCTCGCCTTCAGCACTGATGGATGTAGATCCTGTGCTACGTAAACTGGGCCCGGTTTCCTGTACCCACCAGGCTACAGATCAGAAACAGCCTGGGCTCTGGCTCACAAGCCCTTGGTGATAATAGACACTCATACTTCTGTCCACAGGCATGGGGAGATAAACATCTGGGTGTAATGGGGCTTGGTGGATGCACTGAGAGCTGCACCCCTCAGCCCCTCTTGCCTCTGTTGACCCGAGGCAGGCTTTACTCCCACTTTTAGGAGCTTAGCATCTTCCAATTCGCTGGTGGCTTGTTGATGTGTTTGTCTGCAGCCCCCACCCCAGTGGTGGCTCTGTATTGCAAGCCCAGTGGGTGTGTTTCTGACTGCTTCATGCACCCACAGCAAGCTCAGGCACCAGGTTGGTATGTTTGCCAAGTGAGTGGGTGAAGCCTGGCATATTCTAGAAAAGTAATCAGGAGATCAAGACAGCATCTGAAGGACCATGGTCTTTCCTATGCCACCAACCAGGCCCAGTCCCTCAGATGGGGATTGCAAGGATTGTCACAATGAATTGAACATTTCCCAGCATAGCAGGAGTTCCTTTACAAATCTGAGCTCTTCAGGTCCTTCCAGATGTGTCCCTGCTGGTCTTTACCAAACACTGATGGACCTCATGTGGCCTTTGAATTCCCTGGGGTACTTAGCCTCTACAAACCTTATCTAGGCTGGTCAGAACATGGGGACAGTCATAGCTGTGCTGCAGGGCCCTGGGAGGGTTTGTCTGAAACCCTGAGCGATTTCAGAGGGCTGTGTGGCTGGCAGGTCCTGGCTATAGAGTTCTTGGTAGCAAAGTGCAATCATAAAGATAACGACACAGTTGATTGCCCTTCTGATGGCTCCCAGGCAGGCATTTGCAGCAGAGCATAAATGAGACTTCCTTGTGCTTGTTGTGGTTGTTTCCAGCTCAGGACAGGCCTGAAGACAGAAACTGTCTGCCTCTCCCCTCAGTCTCCCTTTATACTTGTGCTGCCAACTGTTCCACAGGCTCGTGCCTTGGAGGGGTTTGGACATGACATTCAGGCACACATTCCAGATATCATCTGGTGCCCAGGGCTCTGGGACAGTAGCAGTGTCCCCCAGACCAGCAACTGTTTCTCACTTGGCCTCAATTTGGGTCATCTGGGAAAGAAAGCAGCCCCAGGAATGTGCCAGACCAGTGTCAGGTGGCACGGGAACTACACAGGGAGGGAGGCATGTGCTCTGGACTTTCCCTGAAGTGCTTCTGTGGGAAGAGCTTCTTGCCAAGACACTCCAGGGGACATCTTGACTGCGGCCATCTGTGCAGGTAGAGAGGGCAGGGGATGGCTAATGGTCACTGCCATCAGTTTAGGGTCACCCAGGCCCAAAGTAGTTGGGCAAAGGCTGTATCTGTGACTGTCAACAGATTTTTGTTGAGTTTGCAACAAAGGGCAGAGAAGCAGGGTGACGCTGAGCCCAGTCAGACACTGGTCCACGAAGTGACAGAAATGTAGGTATCTTTGGTAAGTTGCTCTGGGTCTTTGGGCATGGTCCCATCCATGGGCACAGAGCTAGCCTGGAGGTTGAATGTGCATACAGGTACTACCCTGGAACTTTAGCTGGACTCTCTTCGTGGGTCCAGAGCCACTGCCCAACAGGAGTAGGACTATGCCTGGTTTTCATGCGGGGGTCTCTACAACTGACTCTGTTACAGCTAGAGGTATTTTATATTTCCTTCCTGTAAACCAAAACCAGATCACTGGTGTAAGGAAAATGCATTTGGCAACTCTCAGATACTTCCAAGCTCCCTTTTCCCTGAGATAGGACAGAACTTCTGAGGGTGCTGCCAACTGAGGACAACCTGGTGACCTCCAAATGCTGTAGTCCTTTCTCCTGATGGCAGCTAGGAGACTTCACTAAGCCCCTCCTAATTCTGTCTTGCTGGTTTCTTCAGGAAAGGCAGCTGTGCCCAATTCTAGGGAAGCTTACCATTTGCTGAGTAAATGTCTAGATCAGAGGTGGTTAACCTATGGCACACATGTCACAGTGGGCTTTTTGTATCATCGAAAGTTCTAAAAGGTTCACTATGACTAGAGCTGGAGCTGCGTATCACATCTCAGAAAAGCTGGTCCAATTGAAAACAAATTGTTCTATAGAATCAAATTATAAACAAAGCAATTGGCTTCAGATGGAGTGAAACAGTAACAGGGACCTGCTAGATACATGCCTAACTATTCCCTTCATAAGCAACAGCTGAGCAAATACTAGAGTATTAGTTCATAAATAAGACAATTAGCATACATTTCTCCTTGGTCAGAATGCTGATAAACACTTTCATTTTTGTGGAACAGCGAGACACAGACAGCACTCACCGCCTGGCACAGGATTGGGTATTTGGTGCGGTTGATGCCACCTGCGAACACAGTGAAGGTCAGAGCTGCATGGAAGCAGAAGTTCAGGAGCGTATGCCGGCCTTTCCTGCTGATCCGGATGGCACTGTGGGGAATGGAGATTTCATATTAGGAACCAATGTATCAGGGAGCAGTATGGAAATAGGCACTCTTGTCCCAGTGCAAAGCTCTGTTTACAGTGGGAATAGTGCACCCTTAGTGGGGCTGGGAGCAATTTGTGCAAAGGATGAGATTATGGGACAGAGAGGTAAGTGATGGTGTCGTGTGCAGTTCAGTGGGTTGCCTTTGGCTAGCTGTGTGGTAGTTCATCTTGCAGTGTGATGGCTGGTAGGGCTTTTGCAGACTGTAGGCCGGGCTGATTATTTGACAAGTGAAAGGGCTAAGGCCCCAGGACTATGCCTAATCAGTAGTCTCAGTGATAGAAGTCCTGCTCCTGACTCCCAGATGTTCTGCCCTCCACATGGATGTCTGCCTCTCAGGAAGAGGGTTATGGCTATGTAACTGAGCATGACTGTAGACGTCCCAGTGCCTATTGCTTGGACTGGCACAATGTCTATGGCTGAGAACATCTCCATGGCTAAGGTTCTGCCCAGCTGGCTATGGCCAGGAGTGATATTGCTTAACTTATAACTGTGACTTCATCACGATCTTGAACATGCCCAAGCTTTTTCTTATAATCACAGCTGCTATGGTCTAAATGTATGTATTACTTCCAGACTCACATATTGAATCTTGTGTGTGTGTGTGTGTGTGTGTCAGGACTTGAACTCAGGACTACACACTTGCCAGGCAGGTACTTATGCTGCTGAGCTATATCCCGGCCATATGATGAATCCGAATCACCAATGTGATGATATTGGGAGGTTAGATGTTTGAGCAGAGCCCTCATAAGGATTGGTGCCTTTATAAAAGACATCACAGAAAGCTGCCTTGCCCATTTCACCATATGAGGTCAGAGGGTGGAGGTGCCATCAATGGCACCAGGAACCAGCAAAAGGACCTTACCAGACACTAAATCTCACTGTGTCTTGTTCTGGACTTCTAGCCTCCAGAAGTGTGAGAACTCAATTTCCATCCTAAACAATTGTTCATAAACCTCCCAGTGTGTGGTAATTTGTTATAGCAGCCTGAACAGGCTAAGGCAACAGCTCTGCATCTGCCTGAAACTCTCTTATGACTGTGACCCTGGGCCTGCTCACTCCTGTCCTGACCATGGCCTCAGGTGAACCTCGGCTTCTTACCACAAATGCACTCAGGCTTCTTCCCTGGCTGCACCTATAGCCAAGGCCTATGTATTACCCATGACTTTAATTATGAGTTGGACTGTGGCTGTGGCTGGAGCCCCTCCTCATGCTTTCCAGTGCACCTCCCAGTGATGCAGTGAGGTCACCCCCACCCCTGCTCTCAGACAAGGTGGCCAGAAGCAAGCTCAGAAGTATAAATCCAACTTTTCTCCCCTCTCCAGATAAAAAGGCATGATGCAAATGTATAACAAAAGTTTTACAGGCTTCTGGGCAGGGCCTCAGTGTACTTGAACCAACATGCACCCATTTAAAAAGGACTTATTTCACTTAATTTGATAAGAATGTGTAGGCTACTGTTGAGAAGACCTGATGGAGGTCCAGAACAGAAGAGGTAGGCTTTCCCTAGGCACCGTCCCCTGCTGGCTGCTGTGATAGGCACCGTGGGTTGGTATGTGGTGTGTGCAGTACCTTCCAGGAACATCTTGCTATGTGGAGGGGCTGAGGTCTTGCCTAAGGGGTTTGCACTTAAGAATAAAAGCCTGCTGTCTCTGGTAGCATGGGGATACCACCCTCTCATGCCAGCCTTACCTCTGGTGCATGATGTAGGTGATAACGGAGGCGAGGAGGCACAGCAGCATGACTGCGGTGCATGCATACACCACAGGGTGCAGGAACTCCCCTGGGTACTGGGGCAGGGAGAGGACAGTCTTCAAATCCTAAAAAGGAAGCAGAGGAGACCAAGGCTGACTATGTAGCTGAGCGTCTCTACACAGCCAGTTACCTGAGCTCTCACCTCAAGTTCAGCCTCCTCATTCCAAGTGGCTCAAGGAAGCTTTGGATTTGAGCTTTGCTTTGTTAGTTGCTTAGGAGGGGTCAGACTGGTGGCTGAGAATCACACTGCTCACAGTGGGGGTCTGCAGCAAGCTAGTGCCCTGCAGTGGGGTTGGTCTTCACCTCCCCTAGGTCTGTTCAGCCAAGACTGTCTACATGTGGTTTTGAAAGCAGCTCCCAGAAGGAGGCAGCATTTCTGCAGTGCCAGACGCCTGGCTGCAGTCCCTGTTCTGTCAAATGTTGCTGGCAGAGGGCAGGACACAGCACTGGCTTCTGATATGTACTTGTCTGTTGGCAGCATGCCTGCTCAGGTGTCTGGATGGGGCCTCTGGAAAGGCGGTTAAACATCAAATTTCCCCATCCTACTTCTGCACTTCACACCCCTTGACATTCTACTTTTAAATGTCTCCCAGGGGAACTCTGTATCACATTTTAGCAGATCTGAGTCCTGTTGACTGAAGCTGGTGGAGAAAGAGAAGTTGTTACAAAGAAAAAAATTAAACAGACATGAGACTGAGGACCTGACTCTCATTTTGGACATCCTGAACCCCATTGTAATATCACAGCCAAAGTAAAAGGTTCCAGGTCCCAGTTCAAAGAAGAGCATGGTTTCTCTGTGGCAGAGTAAATCTGAATGTCTCAGGTAAACAGTGTTATAACTGCTGTAGCTTTGCCCTCTTTGGGCCTTGTGGGGATGATGCCCTCATCCTCATGATTCAGGCAGAGGGCCAAGTTTTGGTCCCACAGTCCTAGGGAGATGTCCTGATCAGATGGGAAGTTAGGGGCTCCCCAGTCCTTTAGCCTCTGGGCCAGGGATAGAGCAAGGCAGAGTGGACCTCAGCAGAGCACAAATGATTCTGGATAACACAGGACTTCAGGACTCTTGGTACTTTATAGGCCACCTTACAACCAGATCATAAGCTCGTGGTGGAGCTGTCAGCTCATGACTGAAGATATCAGCTTCAGATGTCAGGAATGCCACAGTCTGAAGCAACTTCTTCAGTAGACCCTGAGGCCAGCCTGCTCCTGATTGATTGATAGGCTGGCCATCTTTGGTCTGAAGCACTGGGAGGGGTCTGTGGTCTGAATCCCCAAAGCCTGGTGTTGCTAAGCCCCATCCTGTCCTTTATTGCTTCAACCCAGGGCACCTCCTCCAGGAGTGTGGACAGGCAACACCTGCTGGGCAGAGCCTTTGTCTGAACAACAACAGGTGCCTGTGGGACTGAGAGAAGTGGTAAGACCATTTTACCAGGGCTGTGCGTGCTCTTTTTTCCTGGATGCCAAGCACCCAGACTCATGACTCAGCTCGACTTCGAAGTGTGCTCTGGACAGTGCCTCCTGCCCCTGAGGGATTGTGATAAGTCTGCTTGGAGACTCCTGCCCTTGTGCCCCATGCCCCTTGGTAAAGAGGAAAGCCCCCAAACCCCAAAGAATCAGATGTCCACTGCAGTAGGGCAGTCTGCTCCTTGAATCCAGTTCTCTCCTGATGCTACCAGAATATTTCCCCGATGGTCAACTGGAACTAGGGTTTTGTACTAGTCATGAAAGGCCCAGGACTCACAAGTCCTCCACAGGCTTCCTTGGAGCCACTGTCACTGTGGTGAGCATACCTGGTGGGTTGGCCTTCTGGTTCATTTCAGATTCCTGTTCTGCTGGTCATGGTGGGTGAATGGCTCAGCTCATACTTCTAAAGCAGTGCTTGAAATATCCCTGGTGTCCTTTGTCTGAGAACTGTGTCCCTTCCCATCTGTCCCCAGGGTCTACATAGGAGAGCTTGCATTTGGTCACATCTTATTTATTGGTTTTAAATCACCTAACAAAGCCCCTTCCTGGAAGTCAAATGAAAAGTCAAAACAGTGCTCCAGACAGCAGGCAACCTCTGCAACATGCAGATTTCTCAGGGAGCCAGTGTTGGAGGCAGAGGTGTTAGAAATGCCACCTAGCCAGGTTATGCAGGAGGCCGGACATGAAGGCTGCACCATCTTGGGGTAGGAGACTTGATTCTTGTCTGATGGCCCAGTTCTGAGGTGAGCAATTTCATAGCTCTGTGAAGCCAGGGCGAGGGACATCGCCATCACCTATGTGAGGACACATTCCTGTGACTATAGACAAAATGTCTTGAGGGTCAGCAATGAACTTGGTAAGAAACAGGGATTTGATTTGGCTTCTTATTTTTTCTTTCTCCAAATTACAGTTATCAGCAGTGACTTTCTACATTTTTAGAGGTGACATTTAAAATTCAAAGTAGGTAATACAAAATAGAGATATATTTTAAAGTTCACACATGGGCAAGTTCCTCTTGGAAGAGTCTACCTTGCAACTGTTCCTCAGGCAAAATTATGATGATGATTTAGTGTGTGGTTAGACAGAATCTGCCTGATGGGTGGACAGGTCTCCCTGAGATGGTGAAACCGCAGCACTCTTTGGAGCAGCACTGCATGGCTCTCAGGTCAAAAGACTGGAAAAACAGCCCAGAGCACCCTCAGGGGCAGGACAAAGGCCAGCTGGGATGCTGCTGCTTTCTGTGCCTGTAGGAGGGCCTGATTGCAAAAGCCACTTTGGAAATGCCTCTGTTCTCCTGGGAAGCCTTGGTGTCCCCTTGTGATAGGCTGACCTGACCGCTAATAGTCTCACAAGCATCCTGGCCCTGACATGTAACAATCTTTATTCTCTCCCTTTCTTAAATCATGGCTTCCTTTTATATTTTTTTCTTATTTTGGTTGGATGCGCCATTTTTGATATTTCCTGCAAACTGAATCAGGTATTAAGGAGGACAAAATCAAAAGAGGCCAATCCAGTGATGTGTCAATTGTTTGATAAAAATGCTGCCCTTTTGTGACAGTGAGATTTGGGAAAGTGAACTCTTCAAAAGCCACTGTCTGAAGTCACATTCCTTCCTGCACAATGAGGTGACCATTGGCCTGCCCTGAAGGCTTCAGCTGAGGCATCGACTGGGTTTTCCGTAATTCTTCTTCCTGGATCTGTGCCAACTCACGTTGATTTAATTATAACCTCATGCATTCTCTTGTCTGCCTTTTTAATAATTGCATTTTATTGATCTATCAGCTTTCATGGAAGTGTTTTGGGGGAAAGGAAGAAGATAAGTAATTTATTAATTTGAAAAGCAAATTACCCTAATTGAACATTGCATAAATATAGTTCTCTATGGTTCTCTTGTTTGGAGGGGTACATAGGCTAGAGAAATTTTAAAGAGATTTGGAGAGAAACGTTAAAATATCACAGAGAGTTTCCTTCTAGACTGGTAGTTACTTGTTTAAATTTCATAATTGATGGGAATATGTTAGATGAGATGACAAACTCCATCTGTGAGATAAAGGTAAATTTTAGGAGTTTTTAGTAATTTAGATACTACATTGAATAAAAATTGACAGACTAAAAACTTATTAAAAGTTCTAAAATATTTGTAATTGTGACATATTATCTCTTGTGGGCCTCTATCAAGGCCCATAAATCAATATGTGAGGGCCACATTTTCTGACAGTGCAGACCTATGACTATCTCACCCCCTTTTTTTGTTCAGGTCCTGATTCTGGTCCTTTCAGAACTGATCTCACACAGATGTCTCCTGTCTTCCTGATCTTCTGGGTCACTGCGGGGAAAGGGCAATTCCCTATGGCCTGTCTGTATCCTGTGGAGCTATAGTTCCAGAGTCAGAGGACCCCACCCTCCATCTATCTGTCTGGTCCCTGTGGAGTCTTAATCCCATCTTTTTTTTAAAATGGGGGACATTTACATGTGTAAAAGAAAATCATAGCCACAAGGGTACTTTAATATACCATGTGTTAGAATGCTCCCCCCATTACCCCAAGCAGCAGGACCAGTCTCTGCATTCCTGGTCTTGAGTTCCCTGAAAAATGTGGCAAAGACCACAGTGAGGTCAGCCCTGAATCTAGAGTAAGCAGAGATCCAGCAAGTTATCTGGGCTTCCAAGCCCTGCTGCTTGCAGTATTAACAAACAAAGCCACTGAAGTCCAGACATGGTGCCCCAGCGCTGGCACAGACACTAGAGGGTCAGGGAGGCACATCAGATCAGCTTGACTCAAGTGCTGCTACTACCAGCAATAAGTAGTGCCAAGAGCCTACCACACTACCCTACAGGCATCATCTTACATATACTGTACTGCACTGTGCATCTTACATGTACCACCCTACACCACATCATACACCATTCTATGTATGCCATCCTAAATACAGCATTCCACATACACCATCCTACACACACGACCTCATCCTACACCATGCCAAGCCCTACCATCTCATTTGCCACACCATTCCATGCCACACCAATTTACACTACATCTTTTTACATATAATATCCTTCATGTGCCACCCTATCCCACACAGTTCCACACTGTAGCACCCATCCCACCCCAGGGTATACCATGGTATAGCACCTCACACCACAGTGCCCTATATCATCTTACACCATCCCATATCACACCACATCATTGGATCCCACACCATGCCATCTCACACCATGCTATATCACACATACCCAACACACCATCTCCCTCCACATCAAACCACATCACATCATCCTGCACTAGCCTACACGCTATTCTGCACCACCCCACCCACATGACACATTCCACACTCATCACACTGTCTATCCCACTTAACTCTTAGCACCAAGAAGAACATTGCTGGAAGACCAGATCTATGCATGTAAAAGCTTCCTTGTTCAGTTCACCAGGCTCAGGAACTCTCAAGGAAGCATAAAGTATGAACATACAAAGATTGAAACTATGTTTACTGTAACTCACAGATGACATTTTGCTCCCTTTAAGTACACACTTTCTTGGAGCTAAGTATGAGGATTACAGATGACAAAGTACAAAATCGTATGTATCTTAGTGTCTACTGGATTTAAACGGTAACAGCACCTATTTCAGAAACAAAATAGACCATGTCTGCTTTGCTTATCATCAACAATAATGCAGACGTGCCACTCAGAGGTGGAGGTGCCCTTGGCCTCCCACAGTGAACGTGTGTCCTGTAGGACATGACCCCTCTGGAGAGGAGTGATTTACTGTACCCACTGGAGTACAAAGAGCCAGGCATGGAGTGCACCCTGAGAGAGGAGCATGGCACAGTCACAGGCTCACAATCCAGCACTGTGGCAACCCAGGTGCATGGCTCAGGAGAGCGTGAGCTACAACTCACAGTGGGGAGCTGAGAAGGCTGCTTGCTTCTGGACGAGAGTCAGGGATGCTCCAGTGGGCACCATACTGGTGTCATGATGCACTAGCTGAGAATAGGCAGGGCCAGGACCACTTAACCCTTCCTTGTCCCTGGGCTCAGGTAAGCCTGTTCACAGCCTTGAAACATGCAGAAAGCAGGAACCCCAGCATCACACAACCCCACACATTTTCTGTACTTTTCAGAAATTCTCACAGTGAGAGTGTTAATGTAAATGTTATTTATTAAGAATAGTAACTCAACACGCCATTGAAATTCACCATTCCGCAGGTGTGGCTGACTGGGCTGCCTTTACAGTGTGGCGCAGGAGGCACCTTGATGGGCAGCATGGAACTGCTGGGACCAGGCATGGCCCTGGAGTAGAAAAGAGATTTCCATAGTGCTGTTAGGGACCAAGGTAGGTCCCCTACTTGGACTGATTGATAGGGAGCGAAAGGGTGATGGGCTTCCTGGGTGGGAGACTAATGCAGGAGATGTTCGAAGGTTCTCTAGGTTGGAGACAGTTGGGGCTCAACCAGGATCCTGGACACCCCTCCACCCCCATCCAAGGTCCCAAGAGGTGGTGCTATGGCCACTCTGTCCTCCTAAACTTACACTCAGTTTGCCTGTTACCTGCCAAGAGCAGATTTCCATTTTGAAAACATACTAAATTGAAGACAGAAAGCCATGGATGATTCCATTAGAAGGGTGGTGGCCATGTTGGGTGTGGCACCTGAAGGCTATAGCCAAGGAGCCCTGGGGCCAGCCTGCTGTCCTCAGACAGCTGCCTGAGCCTTGTCCACATAACCTTGTCAGATGTCCGAGAGGAATGCGGCTGATGGCCTTCAGACTCAGAGCCCGGAGCAGCAGCATAAGATGATGCTGGATTTTGGCAGCAAGCATCTTCCTCATTTGGACATTTTGAATCCAACAAGAAGAAAATGCAATAGTGACTCAGACAGAACAGTGCCTCATGAGGCAGACACCCTGGTCTGTGCTGAGGTGCTCCCGTAGTGTCTGGCCTGCGAAGGCGCCATCCTAACAGGCCATCAGCATTCGCTGCACGTGTCCCTGTCAGCTGGCCTTTACAAACACACACAATGCATTATTTACTTGCCTGTCCACCTTCCCAGAGTCCAGACTGGTGGCAACCTCAATAAAACCATGCAGGAGCCTTTGGAATGGGCCCCAACTGAGTCCCAGACACTGCTCCAGTCAGCTGACCACACTGTACCCTTTATTTCCCCCTTCCAATCACTGCCTTGACTACTGAGGCCCACTGACTTTCTGCTGGGCAGGGGCACTGGGAAAGGCCTTGAGACCTGGCCACAGGGCACTGAATAGAATGGATCCGAGCTCAGGACCAGACAAGGTTCCCCGGAACATGGAGGCAAGACCAGGGGCGTGGATGACATTCTCTTGATTAAATGATTTGACATTGCTGTATGGCTGCAGCTAATTAGTATGAACAGCAATAAGTAAGCCAGCAGGCAGTGGGAACCTGCACAGGCAGCCCAAGACCCAAGCCCTGCTTCCCCTGCTCTGCCCCGGAGCTTCCCCACCCTAGCAGTGAGTACGTGCTGGACTGCTGCTAACTGACTAACCACAAGTTATTTTCTGACCTGGGTCTTCTCCAACAGGGGGTGATAGCCCTTGGTCTGGCTGGTTGGCTGGCAAGGATGCACTGAGCTGGGAGTACTCACCATGAGCCCTGCAGAGTTACTGAGGTAAGAGCACTGGTGGGGGTGGTGTCGCCCGCAGAGACAATTATGTCGCGCCCTTCTCCCCACCAGGTTCCATGGCCATTCAGAAGGTCAAAGTCCCAAACAGCAGCTAAAGTCAAGCTCTAGAGCAGTGTGCCTCAGGATGACCCTGATGGGGCGGGTGAGGGTCCGCAGGCTGCACTCATCTGCAAAGATAGCACTTGGTCAGAGGCACAGGCACAGGGCTCGTCTCCTGTCTGTAGCTTGAGGCCTCCCATGTCTGTTACAGCTCAGCACCTGGGTGCTGGTCCTGCCAGCACCTTCTGAAGTTTGCCCCCTCTCAGCTCCTCTAGACCTGGGCCAGCCTGTTAGAGTGGTTGGCTCAGGTTCTGTCTGGGACATCCAGGGGATCCAGGTGACAGGTTGGGGCTTGTGAATCTTAGAGACTTCAGAGAGAAGTGTCAGCAGCCAGACACTGCCCTCTTGGGTAACATTCTCTCTGTTTATTTAAAAATCAATCTGTGCTCACCATCGCAATACAAGAACTAAACTCAATTGTTTTAGGCTGCCCAAAACCAAATAAACATGTCTGTCAGTTTTAAATCAAGAGAATTAAATAAACCTGAATTAATCTCCCAGCATACAGCCTGACCTGGCAGGCAGAACCCTCTGCTGCTTATTGTGACCAGACTTAGAGGCTGGCATCTTCACACCGATGCTCTTGTCTGTGCCGAGGCTGCTTGGTTTTGGCTGTGGTTCGGTGCCTCCCCTTCACCCAAAGTTATTCAGAATCTGCTTCCCAGTATCAGGAGTTGTCTCATCTTTTCGCTGGCGTGTTTGCCTGAGAAATGGCCCTGGTGAGCAGACACTGCAGCCAGCAGCTCAACCTTCGCCTTCTCGTGCTTGTCCCACTGTCTTTCTGCCCCAAAGACCCTCTACCTCCAGACCCCAGAATGACTGTCCAACCTCTCACCTGTTTTGTCAAAAAAGGCTGGAGCGGCACTGGTTTTGTGCTTCCTGTCACTGGTGCGATGTTGCAGGGTACTTGTGCCGGGAAAAGCTTTCCATCACAAGAGGCATTGGACTGGAGCTCCAAAGTGGAGTTATCAACAGATTGCAGGGCTGCAGCCTGGCGATAGGCTGTGGCCAGTGCACAGCGGCAGTGACAGAGCTCTGCACTGGGAGAGGATGAGTCAGAGCCAGGGAGAACAGGCACTCAGTGCGAGATCGAGATCAGCGGGCAGCTTCCAGGATTCTGCTGGGGGATGCCAGCCGCCTTCGCCTGTCTTCTGTGGCGGCAGCCAGGGATGAGAAACTGGCCAGGAAGCAGGAGCCGTAACCATGGGGACTGGGGGAGGCATGGATGGCGGCAGCCGTGGCCGGGCTCCCTGCGGCAGGGTGGGAATGGTTCTTCCCAGCCAGCCCGGCCAGCCGCCTGTCACACTGCAGAGCCGATTTAAAGAGACAACCGACCAGGGTTTGCCGCTCGCTTCCAACAGATTCAGACAACTCACATTAAAGCATTTCCCTGAAAGGAGGACAGGATAATGTTATTTCATTTTAAAAGATAATCTGTGTCTGTCGAGGGCTTCAAGAACAGAAATCTGAAAAAGGAAATTGATTTTGGAGCAATTTTCATAGTCCTTTAATAAAATATTGTCAAATTCAAATAAGGCAAAACTGAGGTAAAGTCTGCTGAATCCATCCCAGCGTGAGTCAGCAGGGCTGTTCTTGCCATGTGGACAGGGCTTGGCTGGGGAGAGAGCATCCCTCATCTGGGACACCCTCTCCCTGTAGCTAGAGTGACAGTACAGGGCACTGCGGAGGAAGGTGCATGATGGAGAGGAGGCGAGCTGGTCCGCATGCAGTGGGCAGCTTTACCCGGCCCACAGTTGCCTGAGATGCAGGTCTGGGTTGGCAAGGGACTCTTCACAAGGTTAATGTGGCCGAGACATTGCCAGGATCAAAGTCTGGCAAACATGATTGAGACCCGCCAGTCAGGGAACCGACACCTGTGCCCTCCACCTTTCCTTCTCCTTGGTCTTCGGCCCCACAGGGGCTTCATTCCTCTGGGTGTTCAAATGCTGACGTCTTCTCTAAGGATGCTCAGTTTTCTGCCATCTTGGATTTTGAGGGTCCTGAAGCTGGAACTCCTAGCAGAGGAGGTGTTGCCAATAAAAACCACAAAGGAAGAGTCAGTTAGAGGGATACTGCAGCTCTAGATCCCACAGTTTTGGGACATGCTGCTTCTGATCATGGTGTGGCTTGGTGCCTTCATTCCAAGGTACCCCTTGGTACCTTGTGCCCCTCTATGGGTATGCACCAATGAACCAGGAGCTTAATTGGAGGGAATCCATGGGGACTTGTCTCCTCCAGCTCTCTGTAAGTCAGGGTGGCCTTGAGGTATTCTGACTTCCCAGGATGGCCCCAAGGAGTTGGAAGGAAGCCAGAAGCACCTTGGTGGCACTTGGGTAATGGTCTTAGAGAAATGGAAAGGCAGTGGGGCAAGGATGAATCCAGACTGGGGAGGGCTCTGTTTGACACCCGAGCCCCTCACATTCCCATGGAGGCAACCCAGGTGTGCAATGCAAGGGTTGACACAGGCCACTCCCTCTTCCCCTCAAGGGGCTCCCAGGCCATCGTGGTGTGATCTAGGGCTCCAGAAGTGGTCACAGGATCATTCTCCCCTGCTTCAGGGAGCCCGGCCACAGGTTTGACTGGAGTCTTCTGATTGAAAGCCTGGAGCTCAGGCTTCAGGGGGTGTTGGGCCACTTAGCCTTGCCCACTCATAGCTGCCTGAATATCCTCTGTGGCTGCCCCACTTCCTATTCCTTGGAACAGCTTGAAGAGGACATCTACTCCAGACCTAGTCTCTGTGGTGGTGTCAGGGACAGGGATGCTGTGATGCTCCATCTGGTATACCGTACTCTGCACTTGATACAGAGAAGCACTCCTGTGAGGGGGGAAACTGAGGCACAGAGCAGTCCTATGCTTTGTCAGTCACCCACCCTGATGTCTGCTGTTGCCCTGGGAGCTGCCTGGTCCTTAGTATTGAACCCCAGGTGAACCTTTCTGGGGAGCTCAGGTGAGTCTGGGGCTGTTTTGTGACCTTTGAGACTGAGATCTTCTTTCTCTCATTACAGTGACTGCTGAAAGTCATGGTCTTGTGCCTCAGTGAGGCGGTGCCTGGAGCAGTGTTTGTCACTAGGCCTGGGCAGTGTCTGCAGGGCCCTGGGACATCTGTGCTTGCCTGGTCCCAAGGTGATCAGGTAATCATTCCCATCTTTATGCTGCTCCTCAGTGAAGCCTCTGTCTTGTGGCCTCACAGGTTGCCATGGGACACAGTCCCACCATATTGTTCACCTTTGCCCATTTTTGCCAAAAAGAAATGTACCTACTTGGTGTCAAAAAGGCACATTGCTAAGAACACCTGCAGATCTCCTTAGTTTTTGGACTAGGCAAAAGAAGCGGGGAGGAGGACAAGACCAGGACAACAGCAACCAAGTAAACCAAAATTTAAGATCATTTTAAACATATGCCAGGAAAGATTCTTATTGAGAAAAAGTCATTTTCTACCCTTGCATGTAGTCCTGACTCAAGGCAAATTTTATTTGCAAATTTTCTGAGGTACTTAATCAGATCTAAGCTTAGTCCCAGTACAGACACGGAGGAGAGGCATCTACATCTGCAGCTAGATACAGTTGTGTCAAAGAAGAGGTTGTTGCGTGGAGCTGATCCATGCAGTGTTTGATCAGTTTGTGCTGACACGGCCATTCATGGAAGGATTCTAGCTGCATCACGGAGGTCTTGGCTCTGGACATCAGGTCAATCACTCAGCTATCAAGGGTAATATCCTTTACCTATGACACAAACAGTCAACTGGTTGCTGATGTTCACAAGGTTTATAAGTCCCCTTCTCAGTAATACCTTGATTTGTGTTTGGTTGAAAACTGGACAGCAGCATCCCCAGTGGACGCATAGAGCCATCTACTAGATCCCTCCCTGGAAAAGCCAAAGTACAGTTCTTTTTATTTTCTTTAATTTTATTTAAAGAAAGACTAAACAAAACAGAAAATAGGTAGAAATAATACATACATTCAGAGAAAAAAATAAACAGTAAGAAATCACTAGCTGATGTTTATTGTCATTACAAATAGTTGTACAAGATACAAATGTGGAACGTATAAAGGGGGAATTCAAACAGCGAGACTACAAACAGTTCTGTTCAACTGTCCTACAAAAACTTAGTAACATGATTGTTAATCCTATACACTTAAACATATATACAGTTATCCATATCTTCATTTATGTTTAGATTAAACAAACTAAAGCCGGTTAAAATGATTCTGAACAAAGAATAATAGTATTGCTGGATTTCACATCATGACACTCCGTGATCAGCACTGGGTACTGTGGTGTCTTTTTTAAAAATTTAATTTAAAGAAAGATTAAACAAAACAGAAAACAGGTAGAAATAATACATAATTTCAAAGAAAAAATAAACAGTAAGAAATCACTAGTTGATGATTACAGAGTATCTTCTTACAAATAGTTATTCAAGATACTAAAGTGGAGCATATAAAGTAGGGATTCAAATAGTGAGATTGCAACCAGTTCTGTTCAACTATCCAACAAAAACTTAGAAATATGGTTATCAATCCTATACACTTAAACATACATGCAGTTATCCGTATCTTAAACTATGTTGAGATTGAACAAACCCAAGGAGCTAATATCACTCTGAACACAGAATAATACTATTGCTGGGTTTCACATTATGACACTGCAGGATCAGCACTGGGTATTTTAGTGTCTTTTTTTCTTCAAAGTATCTGTTCATTTCATCATGTGTCATAAGGCCAGTTCTCATAAACTGTTTATAGATTCTACACATGCATGAGTCTTAACATGTATTTCTATCTTTTCTATATTAGAGGGAGAAACAAAACAAAGCAAGGCAAAACAAAGCATATTCCTATAGACACATGAAATGAAAAACACATATAAGACTGTTGTACAAAGAGTTCTACCATGGTTCCTATGTTGTCTCTTGTTATCTTCAATAGAATTGGCTATGTCATCAGACATAGTATAATTGAATATATCAGTACATAACAGTACTAATAAAAATACACAGAACTTCAAAAACAGGCAGTTATCAAATCAGAATGTGTATCATAGAGTCTTGTCATCTTCAGTGTAGTTTGTCTGTACTCTCAGACGTAATACTGTCAATCATATCAATTTTGAATAAAATCTGTCTATACCAAGCAGCAATCAAACAAACCAGATTTAACTAAGATAAGTAATGATAAGACAGTATAAGTCATACAGGGCTCCAGATTAAGATAATAGGAAATTAAAGATGATTACTGTGCTATATCCTGATGTTTTTGGGATAGCTGTCTGTGCCCTCAGATCTAATGCAAGTAGGCAAACTGGGACAGAATAAAATCTATCAAAAAATAGAATAAAATCTATCTAAGCAGAGTGGTGGGAGCAATGTGGGTTTTAAATCCTGAGGCACTATTAACAATATGTTCTCCCATCTTTGTTAAGACTTTCCCTCCCCTTTCACTTCCCCAGGGTACACCATACATTTTTGGGTCTGAACAAGACCCTTGGTTTTAAATTGGAGGGGGACAACCGGCTGTTTACCTAAGTGTTTCCGAACCTTTTCTCTCCTGGACTTGATCTCTAATTGTATTCCCTTACCTATTAAAGCCTGTCTTTCCAACCTATCCACAAATACTGGTCTAGTTGCCCCTTTAATCTCTGGTTCTCTGTCACATAGATCATTGTTTTCTCACATTTGATTTTCAGTCCATGTACTCTTTTTCATGTTAATTACATTTCCTATAAATAGCATTTCAGTGGACCTTGCCTCCTGATTTACTCCACATGTGGTTCTTTTTTGTTTTTAATTTAGTGTATCAAAGCCATCTATATTAGAAATTATAACCCACCTTCTCTGCCTCATTTCTGTTATGCTCTTTTTTTGCCATCAGTTGTCTGCTTATCTTCTTCATTCTGTTTTCTGCTCCATTCATTGAGGCCTCTCTGCCACTGTTCCTGGAATCCTAGTACTTTTATCTCTCTCTAGAATGCCCTGCAATATTCTCTGTAAAGTTGGATTGGTGGTTGCGAATTTCCCAAGTTCCTCTTTGTCTTGGAAGCATTTTGCTTCTTCATTAATTTCTAGAGACAGTTTAGCAGGGTATATCAATCTGGGGTGGAGGTTATTTTCGTTCAGGGCTTGGAATATTTCACTCCAGGCTCTTCTTGACTTGATGGTTTGTGTCGAGAAGTCTGCCATTATTCTGATGGGCCTTCCTTTATAGGTGATGTGTTTCTTGTCTCTAACAGCTTTTAATATTCTGTTTTTATATTGAATTTCTGGGATCTTGATTATTATATGCCTGGGTGTAGTTCTGTTTTGGTTTCAGGTGGCTGGAGTTCTGTAT